TGGCGGCTTTGAGTCACGTGTTCTATGGATTTGCTTTGTTATATTGGCCAACAGGGCAAATCAACCAATACTGGCGTAGGGGCAATCAAATCAGTCAAATCTTGGCGTTATTTAATTTATTGGCTTTAACGGCAGCGCTGACTCGTCATGATGGTCATATTGGCCAAGCGAAACATTTCGAATGGCAAGCAAAAATCCGGACAGCAGCGGCCGAACGGTGGGGCATCCGTAGAATTTGATTCAAAATCCTTTCCCAGATGGCAGGAAACGGTACGCAACCACGCTCTACGAATGACGTGGTGTTCTTGGTGCACGGGGGGCTGTCACCTGGGATGATGAATTCCAAAACGCGGGTAACACCGGCGGGTAAATTGAGCATGGTTCAGCAGTAGACCGTGCAGATGCAGATTCTGGTGACTAGACTGCAGTCACTTCCTGGCAGCTGAAAGTGAATGATGACTGAGGTCGAGAAAAGGTTTAAAGCGAGTGACGCCGCTTGGATTTGAGCAGTCGGGGAATCAGTCCTATAGATGACGTCGCCGGCTTCCGGCCGAGATGAGTGGTTTGATTGCAGCATGTTGCAACAAACCATGTCAGGGATGCGACGGCCAAACTCCAGGTGCTGATCATTGATGTTGCGAGACTTTTCTCGCAGTTGTATTCAAAAGTGAATACGATCTGGGCGTGATTGGACTGAAGTGTCCAGGAGTCTTGTTCTAATCTTTGAAATCATCTTACCCTCATACACAGCGAATGCGAAATTCTTGACTGGTCCCATTATTGAACAAGAGGCAAAGGGTACGCACCAAGTTCGTCACACACTGGACATAGACAAGTCGAGAATCCACAAGCCCTTCCCTCCCTAATAATAATGACTCGGGTTCGTTAACTTACTGTAGGAAACCCATATATTAGACGTCGGGGGCGCTTCCGCAACTCTAAAATAGCCGGTCAACAGTCAAGCCTCTGCCGGAAGCTTGCGCGGATAACTCCAAGCTTACTGAAGTATGAGCTGAGGGTGGGCGGCCCGGAGGGAGGGAAGATTCCCATGCTCTGCAAGAGGCCGTAATAGGGCGTGGTACACGGCACTGGCCTTCGGCTTTGTCGGGGTCTCTGCTATGGAGAGGTCATGATTGGCCGCACCAAGAAGCCTGTCAATCGGAGTGGCCGGTCAGTGCATCGCCGGCTCCGGAGTCTTCGGTGCTGGCGGCCTTCGAAGTCTCGAACCAGCCATTGGGCCATGTTCAAGGCGGTTGACACCATTTTCTATGGTATGATCAAATTATGAATTTTGTTTGGATTTTGGCGAGAACATGACAATAGGTTAATGGTAGGTAGCGTGTGAGATTCAACTCTGGCCAAACGTCGACACGTCATCTGCTACACACATCTAAGTCTTCCCAACCCCAGTCACACCCTCGGGGTTAAGAGGAGACCGAGCCTGTTTTCGGCCATTGCGTGGCCATAATTCAACAAGTCCATCCTCGACGCTGACCACGATCCCTCCTCGCATCACGAACTTCATATGACCGCTTCGCTCCCATACCTTCTGTACGTTGTTAACTCCTGGCGGGTATATGACAATATCTGCCAGCTTTCCAACCTCAATAGACCCAACAGAAGACTGAAGACCGAGCGATATCGCGTTGCCGATAGTGGCAGAGCGTAAAACGCTGTAAGGAGTCTGACCTCCTAGGGCCATCATTTTCATCTCTGAATGAAACAAGTGACCGATCGGCTGCTCTCCATGAGCACCAACATTAGTCCTCACGCCTCGCCTCGCAAGTTTCGCGGTTGACCGAGTCGTGTTGAAGAACAGGTAGGAGCTATTTGGCGCTTGCTTCACTTCGGTCAGGCTCTCCAGTATGTCATGTCTTACGTACTTCCTCAGCTTGGCGTCGTTAGGTATATCCTCGTTCTGGTGTATCCAATGTTGGCCGAAGAGACCCCCGTAGTTCATGACTGCCAGTGGAGTATATGAGCTGCCGCTGGCCTCAACAAGTGATAGGACATCGTCGTACAGCTCGGGTACAGGAAGAGAGTGCTCCTGAGATGTGTAACCATCGATGAAGTAGGTCAGACCCCAGTCGAATGACCACCCTCCTTCCGGTACGACGAGCATGCCTAGCTTAGCGGCTTCAAGCAGAAGCCTCTGCCTGGCCGATCTAGGAACGAGCTGGTAGCTTTTGACAGTAAAGGACGAATCGACGCCTTCCTCTTTGATCCGCAAAAGCGCATCTCTAGCATCAGCCAGAGAGTTGATCTCAGTGTAGACAGAAGGCTGGGTTGAGCCATACAGCACATTGCCTGTATGATAGACTCTAGGGCCGTACATTCTTCCCTTCTCAATAAGCACACGTTCAATGTGGCCAGCCACATTATTGGACGCTGGATTGTGGATTGTCGTGACGCCGTATCCTAGAAACGTTTCCATTTCCCAAGACTGGGTTGGGAAGGGCGAGAAGAACCCTCCCCAGTGACCGTGAATGTCGATGAAGCCAGGTAGAACCGCGCCTCCTTCAGCATCAAGAACTTCACAGTATGCAGGTAAGTTGACGTCAGAACCGGGGCCAACGGCAACGATCTGGCCGTTTTCCACTAGAACCGTAGCCTGACGCATGAGTTCCGGGGTCGAAAGGCCCATACTAATCAAAGATGCATTGGTGATAGCGAATGGCCTGCCCTTGGAAACTCGTGCGTGGTGAAGGTTTGCCGCCTCGTAGGTTGCGTTGATTTTCCTGGAAAAGACAACCCTACGAGCGCAGTCGCCAGAGTCTCTCGATTTGAGCGATGCTCGCCTGCATCCCTCGGAGATAAGTTTGACATCAACCATTTTCAGGCTGGGTCCCAAGAGCCAGAAAGCCCTGTCTCCGTCCCAGCTGAAAGTAAAATCATGACCACCAACGTCAGAGAGACGGGTGAGATCCTTTGGCCTCTGAGGATGTCCTGACCTACTCCATATATATCCTTGTTCGGCCTGATGATTCACCGACAGCCAGATGTGCTGAAAGTCCCGAAGCCCGATGATGTGCGGGTTCTTCACTGTAGATCGCATCTCGACCGATGTTCGGCTGGCCGATATCTTGCGCGCCACACTTCTATCCAAATCATACTCGACGATCGAATCCAGGGTTTGGACCAGAATAATGGTGGACCCATCGCGGGGCCCTATCTCAAGCTTGGACTCGGCGCTGTAGTCCCTGATGGGAAGTCTCCGGAGCCCAACCAACCACGATGTCCCCGAAGCTGTCGCGGGTAAGTTAATGTTGGCAACCCAAACACCCTCCCCAAATGTCTCGTCAATATCTCCAAACATGTAGTCCTTGCCAGTGCGGATGTAGGTAATGATTCTCCCATCGGTGACTGGAGAAACATATCTTCCTCGAGGTAGTCCTTGAACTTCGGTGATAGTATTGTCCTGTCGATTGACGACGTGAAAGCTGGTGTAATTGACGTCGTCCCGACATGCTTCGAGCAAATAGTGGGTCTCACCCACAAATGATGGGGAGTAACATGATGTACCGGCATTCGGAGCCTTGAGTTTCCGAGTGTCACCAGAAGAAACATCCATGATGTAATTGTCCCCAGCCCCTTCAAACACCACCGTCTCTCCTTTGGCGTCACTCCGAAGGCCCCGGAAAGCCGTTTCCTGGGCGTGAGTTGCAAGTTGATGCGCTGTAATATTGGTTGTTGAGTATCTCGTTGTTCCGAGGGCAATGTCTATCGCGGCCCTGAACCCAAGCTGCTTCGGATCACCGCTGGCAACCCGCTCACCAAAGTGGTTTATACGCAATGGTATACTCCAGATCTGGCCTTGAGACCAGATGACAATTTTGCTGTCATTCTCTGACCAACCATAGTTCGGGTAAGCCCCCATGAACGCGGGAATAGTACTCAGGTCGTAGGAGAGGCCATCCCAGACGTAATGCAAAGTGCCGGAACGCATGTCCTTGAGAGCAAGAACTTCCTTGTCGTTCCGTCGTCTGATGAATGCTAGAGTGCTTCCGTCGCTAGAAAGTCGTGGCATATTCGCGCCGCCTGGGCTTGCAGGTTTGTTGGGCTTGCTGGGAGTAGCCGATACTAGGGTCGTCGTCTCATTGGTGGTGGTATTCAAGAGAAAGACGGCGTTGATCCCAGAATGAACGTCTTTATTGTACGAAAACTTGCCCTCCGCATCATCCCGCACGTTGCGAGAGAACACGATTCCATCACCAGAGGGTGTATAACGAGCTTGCTCTGATCCCAACTGACTCTCGAAATATCTCTCTTTGGACCAGGAAGTAGGAAGCTTTCGACTAATGATTCTTCTGCCTCCTCTTTTAGGCAAAACACCATCATTAGAAACCCTCAAGGGCACCTCCCATATCTCACCAGCTCCATTTGGGCGACCCGTAAGAAACCATTTCGTGGCAATGACTTTCGGCTCCGTCGGGTGAAATGCCGGACTTGAGAAGAAACGGAAGGTTGAGTTCGTTTGTTGGACTGCGCTTTCTCGGATCTGTTGCTGCGGCATGCGTGCCATGTTCTTGCAAGTGGTGTATGGCATGGTCCAGATGTTGTCGACACCGAAGCCTGCGTCCGATATGTAGACGAGGTTGGATCCATCGGGAGAAAACTCCGCTTCCTTCTCATACGGAATTCCCGTCAGTATGGGGTGAGCAATCACGGCTGAATCATCCTTTCGGCTGCGTGTAGACATGCAATATAGGTCTCCTAGCATATCGAACACAATCTCCTCCTTTGATGGATGAGTAGCTACTCGGAGCCATGTCCCTTCAGTAACGTTCTTAGAAAGTCGTCTTTGGTATGGGTATGACGTTGCAATATCCCATGGTTCCTCTGCACGTCGGAGAGGATAGTCGGTATCTGGAAATATGTCTTCTTCCAAATAGTTTGCGACGTCTTGGAAATTCTGACCTGCGAGCTCCATGCACCACGCCGGGAAATTAGAAACCAAGTGGGCAATGCCGATAGCAGCAAGTCCGTAGAGCATGGCTGCACCAAGTCTGTGCCTCCACACAGCTGGCTTCTGGTACATCACCTGACGTGCAGACAGGCCATGGTCTTTCTCCATGACGGCCGAAATAGTATAGAAAGAAATTTTGAAAAGTTCGATTTAAACATCAATGATGATGCGCAAAGGCTCTGGGAAGAATCGCGTTGTGCAGAGCTTGCCGACACGTTCGACCTGGACGACAAAGACTACCAACGACACACCGGACAGCGGGCTGTCAGCATACGGGCAGCCAAACGAAGAAATCAAAACGGGCCGAGACATTGCTATCGGTCAGAGAAACCGATGTTGTCGGTTTCCAAGCTTATCGTCTATCGTCTACTGCGGATATCAGGGAAGCCGCAGCGGAATTGTACTCCGGGTACTTGTACCCGATGGGTAAAGCAACGGGATCACCGGGCCGCTCGCCTCCCGGCCGTATCGAAGCAACCCCGGGATTGAATTGCTCAAAATGTTTCCAGGCATTGAGACGATAATATGAATGCGAAAATTGTCAATATCTTCGAGTCTCATTTTGTGCAAGGGCTGTTTCGATACATCGCACGACAAGAAAAATGAGGGCTGTTCCTACTCATTCGCAGCGCAAGTATTCACAAGAGAGTAACATCTCGCGCTTCGAGTTCGTAACTCTGGAGGATTTTCAACATGATAGCAATCAGTCTGCATCCCTCGGCGACGAAGGAAAACACAACTTGATGCAGACGTTGGAGGAATTGAAGTCAACCATCTATCCCCCCAACCCTGCGTACGATATCTCTGAGAAGCCATGGCTGCCCGGGCCTCAAACTCCCTACCTCCTCACCAACGCCAATCTCGTTGATCCAAGAGCTGGGGTTGTGCATAAGGGCATCAGCCTACACTTGGCAGGTGGCAAGATTATCAGAGTGGCTCCCACCACCGCCCGCGACTTGACCGCCGAGTTTCTTTGTGCCGGACAAAAAGCGCAGAAGATCGATGCCAGCAAATATTTCGTCTGTCCAGGACTCATCGACTGTCATGTGCATCTCATGGCCGTGCATGGCAGCTCTACATTGCATGGAGCTTTCACCTTTCCACACGAAACAGCCATTTTCAGATCCGCCGGCACCCTTCGGGGCATCTTATCCAACGGCTTCACATCGGTCCGTGACACCGGTGGCGCAACCATTGCTCATGCGCAGGCCACTGAAGAGTTTCTTATACCCGGGCCCCGCGTCTTCCAAGGTGGACGGATGCTCTCACAGACAGGAGGCCACGGAGACGACACAGAAGTATGGAACGACTCGCACTGCTGCCGGAGAAATGGTATCGCCAATTCTGCTCTTGGGAGACTCTGTGATGGCGTGCCCGAGTGTCTACAGGCTGCGCGCGACAACATGCGTAAAGGCGCCCAACACCTCAAAGTGTGTACATCAGGCGGCATTGCCTCCGCCACGGACAAGCTTGAGTCCTTGCAGTTCACGGTAGAGGAACTTCAGGCTATCACGACTGTCAACAAGAACATGGGTGGTACACTAGTGACGGCTCATTGTTACACTGCCGAGGGTGTCCGCCACGCCATTGCGGGTGGTGTCCGCGGCATTGAGCATGGCAACATGATTGATCCTGAGACTGCGCAACTCATGGTTGAGAAAGGGGTCTTCTTGACGCCAACGCTAGCTCTTCACACATTTGTCACCATGCCACCGTACGACAAGTTTGAGACGCCGGAAGGGTTGCGCAAGAATGCGATCGTGGGAGATGCGGGGATACGGGGCATCCGCTACGCCGAGGATGCAGGTGTGACTGTGTGTTTCGGAACCGACACGACGGGGCCTACCTTGGTGATGCAGACGTACGAATTCGTCGTGCGGTCTAAGATATTACCAAGCCCTGTAGTCCTGCGGCAGGCTACTATCAACGGTGCCAAGCAACTGGGTATGGAGGGCAAGCTAGGCGAGCTTGTTGAGGGTTCCTTCGCCGATTTGCTGTTTCTGAGTGAGAATCCATTGGAGGATGTCTCTAGCTTGGAGAGAATCAACGAGAACTTGATGCTGGTGATGAAAGATGGTCGCATCGTCAAGAGTCAGATTAGCCATTTGCGTCCGGAGCGGAACTGCGAGTGGAACTGAAACATGTCCGCACCATAGGTACCTAGATATCAAAACTAAACACAAGGTTGACTGGGTTCTCGACAATGACAACATGAAGCTCAACCCTGCGCAGGAACAGTCGAATGATTGCCTCAGCGTTCCAGTAACATGCACTTACTATGATGGAGAGTTGTCCGATGAATTCATTGCAAATAATTATCCAATCATGAAAAAGAGAGAAAAGTCATGGCCACACCATACGTATCATCT